TGAGATGATACAATTAAAAAGAAGACAATGAACAAATTTAGAGAGATAATGAACAAAATTAGATAATGAAAAAATTAGATGTATAGAAAATGAAGAAAATTAGATAAACGCATAATGAACAAAATTAGATAATGAAAAAAAATAGCTGAACAAAATTAGATAATTAACAAAATTAGATGGATGGCTAATGTAAAAAGTTACATGGGTAGTTAATGAACAAAATTAGATGAGAAATATAATATGGATAGATAATGAACAACATTAAATAATGATCGAAATTAGATAATGAATAAAATTAGATGGGTAGATAATGCACAAAATTAGATACCTAGATGATGAACAAAATTAGACAGTTAATGAATAAAATTAAATGGATAGATAATGAACAACATTAATGTATAGATAATGAATAAAATTAGACTATAAACAAAATTAGATACTTAATGAACAAAATAAGATAGTTAAGAATCAGAATTAAATAATGAGCAATATTAAATTAATAGGTAATAAAGAAAACTAGATAATTAACAAAATTAGATAGATATAAAAAAAAGTCAGATAGCTAAACTTTGAACAAAATTAAATACATATTGAACAAAATTAGATGGAATAATAATAACAAAATTCGATAGTGAACAAAATGAGATAAATAATTAAAAAAATTAGATAGATGATGACCAAAATTAGATGGATAGATAATGGAAAATGGATTGAACGGAAATAAATAAGAAATATAATTAGATAAGGAATATAAACAAAATTAGATGGATTGATAATGAACAACATTAAATAATGCAAAACTTAGATAATTAGCAAAATTAGAAACGAAACAAAATTTGATACATAAATATTGAATAAAATTAAATACATACTGAAAAAAAATTAGATTGATAGTTAATGAACAAAATTAGATGAGTTGATAATAAACAAAATTAAATAAAGAACAAAATTAGAAAATTAACAAATTAGATTGATAAGAAATAATATTAAATGGATAATGAACAAAATTAGATGGATGCATAATGAACAATATCAGATGGATAGATAATGAACAAAATTAGATGGATAGATAATGAACAAAATTAAATAATATACAAAATCTGATAATGAACAAAATTAGATAATGAACATAATTAGAAAGATAATGAATAAATTTAGATAATACAGATGGATACACAATAAGCAAAATTAGATAATGAACAAAATTAGATGGATAGATAATGAATAAAATTAGATGGATAGATAGTGAATAAAATCTGATAATGAACAAAATTAGATGGATTGATAATGAATAAAATTAAATAATGATCAAAGTTAGATAGCTAATGAACAAAATCACAAGATAATGAAGGTACTTCGCAGATAGATATTGAACAAAATTAAATAGATAAAACAAACAGTATCTATTGATCCTTTTGTTGTATTTCTACTTCATGTAAAGGAATTTACATAAATGAATTATTGTGATCCAAATACTTTCAAATGTCATTGGTTCTTTTCCAGGGGGAAAAAAAAAAACATTTGTTAGTTCAAAAATGATTCATTCAACACCAGGTGGAAAGCCACCAAACATCTCAATAGATATTCCTTAAATCATTTAAAAGATGTTAAAATGAAAGCATTCCTCTCTCAGTATACAATATATATATATATATATATATATATATATATATATATATATATATATATAAAACAATAATATTACATGTACCGAAAATATATGGCATCCAATACAGTAACTATTTATATATATTTTATATATATATATATATATATATAAAATAAAAATAAATAAAAAACGTTTCAAGGTAGGTTATATCTGTTTAAATGTCAATTAAAATGAAAAAATCTTTAGAGGATATAATATTATAAGAAGGTGGCATCATTTCTAGTATGAAACAGACTTACCTCTAATTGTTGACTTCAATGTTCTTTTTAATTTATATATACAGTCAACCCGGATTATCCCGGAGAAGAAGTCCATATCTTTACCTAAACATTTCCAGTTAACCTTATATCCATTTTCATATAGCGTCTTATATATTTAAAAACAGACATGTTATATATATATTATATATATTGTTTATATACATAACAGAATATATATATATATATATATATATATAATATATATATATATATATATAACTATATATAAATGTCCAATAGACAATGTCTATATATATATATATATATGAAACAGAAAAATCGTATAAAAAAGTTCTAGATTTTATTTTATTATATATAAAACAAAAATATACAGACTATATATATATATATATATATATATATATATATATATATATATTTGAAAATTTGTGGTTATATCTGTAAAATGACAATGAAAAACTTTTCAATATTCAACATCATTTACACACTTACATTTATTAACTTTAAATTACGTCACTTATTATCCTCCATACTTTACCTAAACGCAGTTAACGTTATTTATGAGCGTCTCTTTGAAAAAACCAACATTTTTAGATTTGTTTATGAATATTCGTTACAAAATAAAACCTTACATTTACCTTTGGTAACGTCCGTCAGAGGATGAAACGTGTCGTTAAAAAAAAAGTTCTCCTTTTTGTTTTTATTCATATATATATATATATATATATATATATATATGTGTGTGTATAAATGAAAAGTCAATGTCTGACCGTCATGCTAGACGCAATTTAGGCCGCCTAATTCTTGAAAACGGTCTGTCGCCTGTTGACCTCATTCAATTCTTTATTTACATATGCTCTATCTCTGATATTGAACACTTTATCTCATAAATATAGCTGTTGTGGCAGGATCCACCTAATTTGCATAGTGTAGTAACGACCATATACATATGGTTGGTACCGGGAAGAGAGGGAGGAATCAAGAGATTCAACCAGAGACTCTTCCCGACTGCGACTCAGTCAACACATTCTCCAGGAACGGTTTACCAGGAATATACAAAAGACTATATGTAAATATTGTGTACACTTTCTTGTTTCAATACATTTTGTTCTAAGTACCTTTTGTGTTGCATTATTATTCCATGCATTAGTCAAGTTTCAACAATAGCACACCTTAAAACTATGTTTCTTGATATATACATACATACATATATATATATAAGTTGCGATGGGTAAACTATCGCTATTTCATATCTTTAATTTTGCGCATGGGCTTTGTTTGTTTTTTGATTTTGTTCACTGCACAGTATAGTAAGGTCAGTTGGGCATCGTCTGGGAGAAAAAGAGCACCAAGATGTAATTCACTCCACCAGAAATTTGGAAACACAATTCTGTACTGTTTGGCATTCGCACCGGAAGCTCCAATACGAACATTTCAGAATATTTGGGTGTCAATCTGAGGACATGCAGAGAATTCAAAAAGAGCTGGGTGAGTCTAATGGCTTACAAAGGTACGACAGCTGATAAGAAAAGAACTCCCGAATTTGTTGTTGAGGGCCTCAGACTGAACACGGTGGGCTATATCAAACGTCTTCAGGAGTTAGTATTATACTGTGTCAAGAGGATGGCTGCTGGAATGCCCTATGTCTGGTAACAGGACTCTGCACCATGCCACACAAGCAGGAGAACCAGTCATGGCTCTCAAACAATTATTGCGACCACATCACCCCCTTAATCTGGCCACATAACTCCCCAGACTGCACTCCGCTTGATTGTTATGTGTGGGTTGCAGTTGAGCGAGAGACCAACAAAACACCTTGTAACACCAAAAAGGAACTGAAGGCAAGGTTTATGGCAGCATTCACCAACTTAAACAAGGAGACCGACCAGAAAAGATGCAGGAGATCCCGAAGTCGTCTGGAGATCGTAGTTGAAGCTAATGGTGATTTCATTAAATGAATTTGTTCTTTAGTATTTCAAAATATTTTTGTGTAATTTTGGTAAACATATCTGTTAAAATGAGATGAGTCAGTGTTATTTTCATTTTTGCGTCATTTAAAAAACAATTTATTTAGATGACAATTTATCCATCGCACTATATATATATATATATATATATATATATGATAGACACTCCCGTCGTTTTTGACGTAAGAGTGTCTTTCAGTTTTAGTTTTTGTTTGTTCTGTATGAGACAACAATCCTGCATGGGATTTGCAAACAAATCCATATGAAGGGCATACTGAAGGGTTGACCGTCATATGGGTGAGATGTATTAACCCGAGATTTAGTGTTAATTCTTAATCCCCTCAGATGGTTGAGGTGATTCTTTTTCAAAGTTAGTTATACAATGTAACCCGGATATAAGAGAGTTGTCAGGACCGGAGAAGAAGTCTCTTATATCCAGGTTCGGTCTATTTTATATACATTAACACAGGCTCTAATTTGGGACCAGAGAAAATCTCTCTTATATCCGGGTTTCTCTTATATCCGGGTCTCTTATATCCGGGTTACACTGTACCTCAGGTGTTTCTCCAGCAAAAAAAATCTTTTTTTTCTTTTTTCAACAAAAAAGAGAGGGGTGGAAGTTAAAAATGGACATGGTGGGAGATGTGGCAGAAGAAGGCATCGTTACGGGAATTATATTATAGAGGTAAGACTGTCTGGGGGTGGAGAAGGATAAACCGATGAGCTGACCTACATCCTAATGGTCACACGACCAAAGTTTGATTCAACGGGAATCCACGAAAATTAACGCTTCCCTCCTTATCTCCCCCCAACTAGCCAGTATCCCACTACAAACTGATATTGTAAACAGATTAGAAAATCCTGTGAATTTTAAAATTAAAATTCGTAGGTGAAAATGGTCAGATAATTTTGCTCTGTTTAATGAAAATAAACATTGAGCGCTCTTTTGTGAGTCATTTTTAACATATTTCAAATTCTATGTTTTGTTATTAGGACTCGCTTGCATTATACCAACGGATTACTACCTACTTTATATATATATATATATGTGTATATAATCGTTTTAACACAGTTAATATATGAGTATACTTATGGTAAATATAGATAGATCTGAACAGATATAAATATTTAAATAGATTAGACAGAGAGAGACAGAGTTAATGAACAGAGAGAAAAAGATATAGAGAGGCAGGGCCATAAAGAGAACGAGAAACATTTAAACGAAATTGAGAGAGAGAGAGAGAATGATGAAACAACTGAGAGGGAGAGAGCGCGAGAAGTACAACGTTTATTTGCTAGGATATGACCAAACATCAGATTTTTGGAGGCCAAGACGGACTTCTTGGTCGTGCTGATCACTTTTTAGCACCCCCTCCCACGTATATGACTTACATGAGACTACTTCTGGGGTAGGCATCCATATTGCATTCCAATGAATAAAAGCAGACAGAAAATATTTCTGTTCCATCGTGAAAATCTACAGAGCACTGATATGCTTTCATAGAAGAAAGCCAATGTATTTCTATTGAAAAAAAAATATTAGTCATCAAGAAAGCCAAATACATACAGATCCACTTAATATATATATATATATATATATACACACCTTGCACACACCACTTATTATGTGTCTGTTCAGTAAAGCAGAAATTTTTCCACAGCTTGCTGCGTTTGGCCTAACAAATAAGTAACTCAATTGACTGAAGCTCATATTGAAAAAAAAATGAATACACGACCTCTTTTACGCCTTTACTGAGACTATATATATATATATATATATATATATATATATATATATATATATATATATATGACAGCTAGATTGATAGGTTGAGTGAGTGTGTGTGTGTGTGTAAGGGAGAGAAAATGTTTGTGAACAACATTGTTTTATACATGAAATTTTATTTTGGAATACACATGATTTATTTATTTCTATCTCACTCTCTCTCTCTCTCTTCATAATATAGGTATTTAATTTTTCTAGTTTAAAGATTCAAGTAATATCTTTTCTTCAGTTTTGCTTATGAGATGTGTATGCAAATGTAACACCTACTATAAGAACAAAGGTAACACAAAATACGACTTCTGTCCCATAATTGTTTTACCATTTTCTGTATGAAATGTGTATGCAAATGTATCAACTATTATGGGACAGAGGTCATAGGAACTACAACTTCTGTCCCATAATAGTTGTTCCATTTTATGTGTGGAATGTGTATGTAAATGTATCAACTATTATGGGACAGAGGTCATAGGAACTACAACGTCTGTCCCGTAATGGTTGTTTCATTTTATGTGTGGAATGTGTATGCAAATGTAAGAACTATTACGGGACAGAGGTAAACTGAGAATATGACTTCTGTCCCATAACAGTTGTTCCATTTTGTGTCTGAAATGTGTATGCAAATGTATCAAATATTATAGGACAGGCGTAACTGACAATATGACTTCTGTCCCATAATTGTTGTTCCATTTTGTGTATAAAATGACATCTGTTATGGGACAGATATATATATGTGTGTGTGTAATATAGTTCAATATCAGGGATATAATTTATGTAAATATAAAAATGGACATTGAGCAGCGATAGTTTGTTTCATGCTTGAAAGCCATGTGCAAGACTGAAGATCAGTGAACAAATCCTATCAAAAATGAACATTATCTTACTTCGCATATATATATATATATATATATATATATATATAATATTTTTTTGTTTAAAAATATGATTCCTGCGCTACTTATTTGGATGGTTTCGGCTCTCGGTTTTGAAACATGAGAACTCTTATGTAGCGAAGGAATCATACTTTTAAACAAAAAAAAACGTTATAATAAAGCTCTACTTCTGTCTTCTTAAAAACAAAAATACTAAGGAACTCCGGATTATGCACCCTACGTGTTCTTTTCTATTTTCTGCATACCTGCGCTTATATATATATATATATATATATATATATACTTACCCATTGATTTTGAACGTTTGCGATCCAACAGTTCCGTTATAAATTCTATTGCACGACTCCCCACACAGATGAATTGTTTAAAGTGGGGAAGGGATCGTCTAGAACCAACCACACTTTTTAGAAAATTATGAAATCTTCAAACAGCTGTCCTTAAATTTGAATCCAGAATTTTCCTTCTCCTATACTGGCTGTCAGTCAAGGCAATATAATATTGTCTGCCTTGAAGGGTGAAAAATGAATTCATGTCTTTTCCAATGGCACTGCGGAACAAAATTGTTGTGATGTCCTTCCTCCAAAAAGTCGATTGTGGACTCTTCCACTGAGTATAAAACTGGTTGGAGATTATGTCTAAAGGAATCAGTGGACCCGGAAACTCTCAAGTCATGTAATAATCTTCTGTTCATTTTCTGTTCAAAATACTACTTATCTGCAAACATTTCTTTTTATTATTCCGTAACCATTCATTTGGTCACAACATAAACAAAGGTAGAAGGGGTTGTTAGATAAGTATACAGTTTCTCCTTTGGATTTAATTATCAACGAGGTAATCCTAAGTGAGCTGGATAATCTGCTTGGATTTATTATTAGTGGATATAAACCCAACAACACACGTAATGCAAATGATGCCGTATTGATAACAGGCACGGAAAATTGCAAGTGTTTCTAGATACGGTAGTAAAAGAAGGCTAGAACAAAGGACTAAGTATCAATTGTAAGAAAGTATAATGGATTGACATTAGCAAGAGGAGAAATCCAAGATGGAAGATAAGTATTTTTTTTCATTATTTCTAATCAATATTATTTTTTGATATTTTATACACATTTGATGTTCTAGTTTCTATAAAAACGACAATGGTAACAACTGAAATTAAATATAAGGAATAAATAAACTCCTAAGACACATGTCTGGGTCAAAAATGCACATTAAAAAAATTTGGCAGTTAATGGGTTAAGTTTCGGGGGATCAATGTACGCACACACTCTCAAGTCGTGTAATACTCTTCTGTTCATTAACTGTTCAAAATACTACTTACCTGCAAACACTTCTTTTGTTATTCCGTAACCATTCATTTGGTCACAACAAAAATAAAATCAGTTAGAATTTGAAACCGGCTTGATTTTTCATTGATTTCTTAAATATATATATATATATATATATATATATATACATACTAGCTGGCTCGGGCGAATCCATTCTGTGAGGGTGTTTGGCTATCCTCAGCTGACTCAGCTGTATTTTCAGGTGGGGTAAACCTTCTGCTTCACAAGTTTAAAGAATAAAGAGTTTCGCGTGATCAGATGGTCATCACGGCCTGCAGTCGCCATATTGCTTTTTCTTTAGCAGATTGTACGGCATTGGATTGAAGGGCAGGGAAATCTTGTTGGGCCTAGTTTGTTTGAAAAGCACACCGTCGCCTGGAAGAAAATGGCGATGCTTGGACAAGCCCCCCCCCTAATCTACATTTGTCTTCATCTTGTCTTTGACGAGGGCATCAATTACGGTGATGCGGAAATGGACGGAAACCGAAATTTTGGGATATAGAATGCCCGATATACAGATATTCATCTCTCTTCCCATTAGAGCTTCGAAAGGAGACACTCTGGTTGCACTGTGGGATGTGGCCCTGTACTGGCAGAGAAAATTAGGTAACTGCGTTTTCAAGTTCTGCCACACACACACCGGCTGCAGTTTTATGGATAAATTTTGTTCATTGTCACCGTGAAGCGCCCAGTCTCATCATTTGCTTCAAATCAGAGTAGTGTAGTTTTCCTATGACGAAAACCTAACTGGATGTCAAAGTCCCTGAATTCTTATCTTTGAAAAGGAGATCTTGACTACTGTCGGTAAACCTTGCCGGGCAAATATAGAATTTAGACAAGAGATGACAATCTTTGCTGAGGTTGAAGGGATTATCTCGACTTCAGGAAAATGGCGGTACTCATCGATGGACGTTAATACAGAGTCGCCTGACCTGAAATGTCCTCTAGAGCGATTTCTGTTCATGGAGCAAGGGGTAACAGTATCGGGCATAGTATTCATGCTGAACTGGACTAGGAGATGATGCCTGATATGGAATACAAGCTCGGACGATTTCTTCCACCATCCTATCAAAGCCTGGAAACTATACCTAATCTCTAATATACTGTTTCGTCTCGATGATTCATTGGTGATTGTGGTGTGTGATGTCAGTTATTCTCTTGTGCCTTGCCGATGGAATTACCAAACGGCGATCACGAAGAGCAACATCGTCTGCGATAGATACCTCATCCATGAACTTGGCGGAGCAGGATAGTCTGAATCTTGCCACTAAAAGAACTAGATTGCTGACATCAGCTTTTGAAGCTGGGTATCCTGTTGTGATTTGCGGTTCTGACTTCTAGAGCCAGAGTTTTTTCTTTACTGTTGTGGATTCCGAGATGAATTCGGTCTCCAATGAAGAACAAACGCAATAATTAAATATAAGAACTAAAATGTATTTACACAATCATACAAAGGGTAATACTGTTAGTAAATCCAGGAACACGGTTAGTAGCAAATACAGATAGATATATTCAGTCTCGAAGTAGGACTTCCTTAGAGTCTACGTGCTTGTAACTGACTTCTAAAATAGGTTACCTCACACTATCTCCGTTCATATATTCTCTCTCTTTCTGACTACCCTCTCACTATCCGACTACCCTGACTGACTGTCTAACTCTGGGTATTTAACGGCAGCAGTTCAGGTACACTGGTAGAGTCCACTTATATGAAAAAGGGGTGGACCCCATAACATTTACCACACAGTATGCATATATTCTCTCTCTCTCTCTCTCTTGTGTCCACTGAAGTAGCCGACACGGTTACTTTCGTCTCTTACTGGGTGATATGTCCACTCATACGGCATGAGTCAAAATCCCCAATGTTTATAACTATCTTTCTTTCCCAGGCTGAGACACGAAATGAAATTCGGCAAATAAATGCCTATATCCATTAAAATGATGTTACGTCATTGTCTGATAAAAAAATTCTCAAAAAGACCATTTAGTATACAAAGATGTCTTCTCAAATTCCTGCAACCATTAAACATAATGTTTATAATATATACAAGGTGATTAAGTTTGGTCATATCTATCTGTCCATCCATCCCAGTCTGGTCATATACAGAGTGATTGAAAAGTAACTCCCCATTTTAAAATAATTTTAATTTATTTACTAACTATAATTTCTACAAAAAATGGATATGAGAAGAAAGCTTTTAGCATGAGGTTATATTTAAAATTCAATATGGGCACCAGATTTCGCTACCATCTTCTCGAGCCGCCCAGGAATTGCATCAAATGATTTCAGAAGG